TGTCCCCTGTCCCCTGACAAATTCGAGACAACAGGCACCAACAAATCAGCCAGAGAGAAGAGCACACCGTGGTGCCATTCAACGGCCATCGCGGACCGTTTTCAGAGGCACGCTTCCTTGTGTTCATCATCGCAGCACGTACTCTCTACACCCGAGCAAGACGTACGAATGCGAGCTCCCGCGACTGATGTGGTTGCTAGAGCGCAAATATCAGAATGTGCATGTCCCACCAGACAAAGCCGCCGGGACCTGCACTGCCTCTCTTTCTCGTTTGTGTTTAGATGTTTCCAGTTGTAGCACAAAGAGGAAATGGAACAAACACACGCTGCGCAACCAGTCTTGTGCTATTATCCAAACCGCATGAGCAATATCCCCGTTCTGTCAGAGCGCTGTACATCAGTCCTCTTCTGTTTATCGCTCCTTCCGGACTGCGCCTTGCATGCCCCGAATGCTCACGTAAACCGTGACCCGGTTAACAGGCATCCCAACGCTCTGCGGATGATGCAGCGACCAGGGTGCTCATTGCCTCGTTTTTCTTCACGGGAGGGCTGTGGGAGGTGTAGAGAATCCTAGAGCGGGTTGAGGCCTCGATTGCTGTGCGTCGTTTGCCTCGCCTTTGCCTCCCTCGACCATCCCGGCAGCAGCAAGCAGGGCATCCAGTTCCGCATATTTCCTCGTGGGAAAGACAACACCATCGGGGGTTTGATGGGGATGGAGAAAGATGTCCTCCTCCTCCTCCTCCTCCTCCTCCTCCTCCTCCTCCCCGTACTCCTCATCCGTAGTCCACCCAACGGGGTCCCATGCTGTTTGTAAGCACCATACACCACACGGTTACAGCGTTCGGATAAACAAACGCGCGGCGGAGCGGTGCCAACATGTCGGGTGAGCTGACAACGAGACTCGCTTGTTTCTATCAACCATCCATGGCAGTGAGAAAAGTGGATCGAACCGAAAGCTGGTTGAAAGTAAAGTCATTCTTTATTAACCTTCTACTCTGGGTGAGCGAAGAGTCCGGAGTGTGGGGCTATGATCTGCCACCGGAGGTTGGCTATTTCCTTTGGTGTGATGTGGGGAGGAATACCAAGCGTGACCGAGCGAACTCAGTCCAGCTAGGGTTGGTGCGGAGTGTGGTGAGCCTTCGTGGACTCATTTGCCCATCCTCGTAAAGATTCATCAACTATTCGCAGCTGTTGGGAATCGCAAGAGCCATGGACCGTCGGGAAGAACAGTGATGATCTATTTTCACATATTCCCTCAGATCCTACTCTTTATGTACGTGTGTCTATGCTCCCTGAATCTCCATATCCTGACCTCCACATATTGCAAGGTAAAATCATTCACCAACCGACAAGACTGACTCGAATTTGACACAAACGATAGTACTCCTGTGTGTGGTACGTCGGATGAACGTTTGTCTGCATGGGCCACGTGCGAAAAGCGATCAGTGGACTCTTTCGCTCCCGAAGTCTCGAGAGAACACAAAACGGTATTGAAACCTTGACACCATCCTACCGCGCAACTACGTGTCACTCGGTGCTATTGTACAATCACGTGAAGGCTCCCTCCGGCACTGAGAGAGCGTTCAGCGCTGGTGCGGGAGTTTCCTGTTGGCGAGAGGTCCTCCGGCCATGACAGGAGGCCTCACCAAAAACAACCCATTCATGAGCTGATCTTCGCCGAGGAAGACAGCAGTACATTGGGCAAAACAATTCACGCAGTTGCGCCGACGGGGCATTGTAGAAATACCAAACATCGTTTGTCAGAACACACGCAGTCGTAGAGAGCTCCAACATGTTGAACTATGATGCAAGCCTCCTCGATTGGACGACCCCTCCGAGTTCTCGTCCTGGGAATCTGTAAGGTAGTGGCCGCGTATATCCTCTCCCTCCTCCTCCTCGTCCTCGTCCTCCTCCTCCTCCACCACCACCTCCACCACCACC